AGGAAGAATGGTTGCGTTTAAAAGAACAATCATAAAACGGTTGTTCTTTTAAACGCAACCATTCTTCCTGATCCCGTACAAATTGATATGATATTCCGAATAATCTCGCTGTTCCTTCACTGATTTGTGATCTGCAAGAAGCGTATGTATACTTTTCCGCCTGCAATAATTTAGTATGAAAAGTTTTTCTCGGCTTAGTTTTTATATCTTTCTCAATATTAATCCTCTAATCGGCACACGTGGATCCATTTTCAACTTCTTATTTCTCGTAGTCCTGCATTATTTTTATAACTTTTCCAAACTTTCTGATAGCAAAATAATTTAGTACAGATCTTAAAGGACATGTTTGAATTTTTTTTTAATTTTTCGAACACTAAGAGCCTCGATCGAGTCGGTTACAAATGATTCATGTGTGCCGTTCTAGAATGTGAGAAGAATAATCGACTGTGATTCGTCAATTTCTTACTCTTCTTATTCCGTATATTGTAGACGACCCATTATATGTAGACTGTAATTACTCTCTAAATTTTTTAAATGAAATCTCACTCCAAAATACTGAAATTTGAGCCAATTTTGAAAAAGAAGAGTGAAATTATTTTCGCTTTTGAACGCCAGTGGAATAAGACTTCATTCTTTAGAATTACTTTCACTTCTAGAGAGTGAAAGTCATTCTAAGGAATGAAATCTTTTTCCCAAAAAAAAGGAGTGAGATTTCATTCTTTGGAGTGAATTTCACTCCAAAAGAATGAAATCTTACTTCAAAAGAAGTGAAGAAAATTTGCCACTTTTGTTCAAGAGTGAAGTGTTAACTCTGTTTTCAAAACCGGCTCAATTTTCACTCCAAAAGATTTAAAGAGTAGTCATTCTTATAATTACAATCACTACTATGCTTATTTTATAGGGTTGTCCGAAAAGTTTGGTTTTTTTTTACTTCAAAACTATGTATACAATATTTTCGTTAAAAATGAATGAAATTTAAATTTAAAAAAAGGATTTTAAACCCGAAATCTGTACTTTGGGAAGATTACCACATTTTTTTGGATTTCTGCGAGCTTAGTAATTTTTACCTTTAGAAAACTACGAACTGAAGAAGATGGAAACATTTTTTCTCATTTTGTGGGTGTTTATGCTAAAAAAAATTTGTGACAATGTTCGCCTACCTATCGTGAAAGCTTGAAGTTTTCACGATAGATAGATAGAAAATTTTTGAGATGGCTTATAACTTTTTTCCTCTTAAGTTATTCGCGAGTTAAAAAAAAAGAAAGTTGTGACTTAGATTGCTCATAACTGTTAAAAATCATCATACCGCAATAAAAAGAATAGATTCTTAAAGCTGAAACTTTGCTCGAATGGCATAATTGTTAATTTTTTAAAATGCAGAATATATATAAATTTGAGCCAATAATATGACTACTGTCCTTCTAACCCTTTCAATGGTTACAAGGAAAATAATGTCGTATTTTTAGGTCAAATTTATATATATTCTATTGTTTAATGAGAATTGGTAATTATACCATTCGATAGAGTAAAGTTTCAGTTTTAAAAATCTGTTCCTTTAATTGCGGTACGTTGATTTTTAACAGAGTTAAAGCAATCCAAGTTACAATGCTCCTTTTTACTTGACTCACGAGTAACTCAAGAAGAAAAAGTATGAATATTTTTGAAAAACAATTTTGTAGGGAAAAACTTGAAGCTTTCACGATAGATAGATAGAAAATTTTTGAGATGGCTTATAGAAATGGCTTTATGAAGAAGCCTTCTTCTTTTTTAGTTTCCGCCTGTATAGTTTTCCGACGCACTACAGCTATGCAGCAATTACCGGGAAAACATGCCGGTACGAGCGTATTTGTATATGATGGATACACTTATCATATGGACAAGCGAAGCGAAGGACTTTATCGGTGCTCGTCGCGACGAAGTTTAGAATGCTATGCGAAATTATTACGAAATCCTGATGGGACATATACTTTGAAGTCACAACACAATCATTCGGCAAACGACATGGTATTGCAGGAATTCCAAATGAAGCAAGAGATGCTGCAAATGTGTCGAGAAACAGTCATGAAACCAAAAGAAATATTTGATACAGTATGCCGAAGGTAAGTCGACGTTTCAAATCATCGAGTTGAAAGTGTGTATTGTTGCACAAACAATATGAATATTTTGCGATGTACAATTTAATATGTTGTTGCAACATTATTCTGTTATAATAATAAAAACTCAATAAACAGAATATATAAGATAGATTGATCTGATTAGGAACGATCATTAACATTTTGCAATACATTATATTTAAGCTGTTAGCACATGTGTATATAAATTTTTATTTATGTTTGCTTTTATCTTTACAGAAATCCAATAGCGGCTATAGGATTTACTTATTCGGTTATAAGAAATACTCTTACTAGAGAACAATTGCGTCAAAGGCCGGAAACGCCGCAAACTATTGCCGAACTTGATGTGGCACTAATAAACTATCAACCTATTCAACATATTTTCAAGGACACAGTTACATCAGATGACGGTTATAAAGCGATAATATTTACTAGTGATGCTCTGCTACAGGCTTTGGTGGATGCTACAGAAATTTTTATGGACGGAACATTTTCGGTGAGTAAAAATTGAGATTTGAAATAATTTCACATATATAGTGAGCGCGCGATATAAAGAGTAATATTGTCAAGTTTTTTCTTAGAAAGTAGTGGAGAAATGAAAAAAAAACTTGAAAATAAAAAAACTTTTGCACAATTAGTTCTTTCTTAATTCAATTTTGATATTCAGAACAGATCCTTCTCTATCTTATTTAAATTTATTTTTTAATTTTGTCCACAAATGTTTACTTGAACATCTGTTGCAGTCTTAAGCAAAAAATTTGAGAAAAAATTAAAAAATAAAATAATTTTAAATCTAATATAAAGAAGAGAATCGGTTCTGAAAATAAAAATTGAGTTAAGAAACAATTTTTTGGGAAAAATACTTCAAGTCGTCAATTTTTATAATTTTATGAGATAAAGATATTACAATATATTACAGTGGTCTTTTCTCCTATCACTGTAAGCAATAACACAAAACATGAAAAAAAATATACATTTTTTTATGCAGGTGGTTCCCAAAGTGCCTCCCTTCGCGCAATTGTACACCATTCACGTACGGCATATGGATACGGTAAGCAAAAGATGGTACACATATTCAATATGTCTCAATTTTCTTACTTGTCCATAAAATATACAATTAAATACTATTACATTAAGGACTGGTTGTTCCATCTTCGGATAAAGTGTGTAATGCTCATCTAACAGATAAACAAAAGGTTAATAAGTAAGAGCAAAAGAGTGAACTGGAGTTTATGGAAAGTTAGAACGATCCAGCCTTATGAGTTAATTCTAAGCAGAATCGTAGGACTCATAATATGTTCTCGTAAAACTTATGATTAGTATTCTAATTTTATGCGTATGTACCATTACAAGTCTTACAAAAATATGTTACGAGTCTTACGATTCTGCTTAGAATTTAGGCATTAGACTTAAAGTTTCCATCCTCGCAACTATCATACTTTTGATGAAACGTGAATTTTTTAAACTCAGTTTCTTCAGAGATTGAATTTGATTACTTCTACTTATTTTTCAGGGTATAGCTGTTCTTTTTGTGTTATGTGAAAAACGCACGATGGGTGTGTATTCCGCAATTTGGCGGAAAGTAAAGGAACTGAATCCAAATGCATTGCAAAAAATACAATCGGTCATGAGCGATTACGAACGCGCAGCAATGACGATTGCAAGAGAAGTCTTTCCGAACTCACGATTAACCGGCTGTTGGTTCCATTTTAATCAGGTACAGTTTTGTATAACGTATAAAATTTCTATGATAGCAAGACGCACACATACACATACATTTAATCTTGAAAGCTTTCTCCAATTCACTTATTTGTTAGTTTATATTTTGTATTACTTTTTGTATAGGCTGTATTAAGACGCTGGAAAGCTTTAGGTTTAACAGCAGCTCCAAATAAAGTTTTAAAACTTACCATGGCCTTACCGTTGGCTCCGGCTGATATGTTTGAGCAAGGATTACAAATCATTCAAGATGAAGCCGACGCGGTGTCAGTGGAGTATCCCGTTGTATTACAATTTACTGCTTACTTGAGACGTATTTGGTTCCCTTTAAAAGATAAAGTCTCTGTGTTTGGTACATCCATACGGACGAATAATTTGGTCGAGAGTTTCCATTTTGTAATTTTTCGAAAACTTGGTGGAATTCATCCGAATATTTGGATTTTTCTCCGTATGTATTACTTATTATTATTACCACTTTCGCGCGCGCGTTCACTGACACCATATTATATTTTTACATGACTTTTAGATAATCTAAGAGAATTGATCACCGATCAAGAAATAAATATGGCAAGACTATTGCAAGGGCGTAGGGTAAAAAGAGTACGAGTTCGTTATAACATGGTTCGTGAAACACATATTGCGGAGGCACAGTTTCTATTAAACTTAGGAAGGTAATTTATATCTTGTGTCATTTAAGCAATCTTGCAACGAGGAAATAAGCCTACTGCTTTTATATGTGTATTAAACTGTACAATCTCTTATTTTATAAACACATATGTTTTATATTATTGTAGATATTCGTTGAAGGAATTCCTTTTAGCGTTGAGTAATGCAACACAGTTACCCGAAGAGAATATTGGTTCGTTTCGAAATACTACATTATATTTTAAATATTATATATTTATCATAATTTAAAGTCGCAATATAGATTTTATGAATGAAAGAAACAGAAACAATGTCGTTTATGTTACAGATTTACAGGACAATTTTGAAATGGCAGAAGAAATGGCGGACGGACATTTGTTTGATGCTTATACAGGTATCTTGTATTTTAATATTTAAATTTTATCATTGTTATTTTTCATTATGCGCCCTAGTGAATTCGGATTGTTAATTGTATATATGTCTACATTCTACATGTATCTTGATACTTACGTTGTTGCATTTTTTACAAATCATTGTACAGTGTGTCCCGAAATTCCAGGGTAGTATTGTTGTGAAATTTTATGTAAAATTAAATAATAAAAGTCTAATCTTTTTTTCCATAAAGTTGTTTTTTTTTTTAGTGTAAACGTTTAAAATTTAACTAATTATAAGCGGTTAAAAAGTCATCTGTCTGCACTTCCATATGGAGTGCATGCGATAGTATTAGATACTAAATAAAACATTGTCACTTGTACATTATCACGGACAGACGACTTTTTAACTAACCTTTATGATTAGTCAAATTTTAAACATTTATACTTAAAAAACTACTTTACTGAAAAACAAATATATATCTTACACTTTTATTACTTAATTTTTCGCAAAGTTTCACGCTGCAATGGTATTATTCTCAAATTTCCTATAATCCGATTTGTAAAAAATGATACAACGTAACTGTCAAGAGGCAACTTCATTATCAAGATTAAAAGTATTAAACGAAAATTGAACATAACAGAATTAGAAGAATATTAAATATATACGAGTATATATAATATTTTTCTACGTTCTATTATGTATATTTGTTCCATTTTTCGTTTAGCACTTTTAATTTACCATATAGTCTATTATTTTTTTAAATTGTTCTATTTATCATTCACAGTGGAGCAGCCTGCGCCTGTAGTACATTATGAAATCCAACAGGCTGATACAATACATCCTATACGTACGATCGCTAGAGATGAACCATTAGGTAGGTACAGATTTTCATGACGTAATTTGGAAGTCTTTGTGGATGATATGGCTATTTTTGATTCCTCCTAATTTCAATCTTTTTTAAAACTTTCACCAGAAAATATATTTTGTACACACGGGAACATAAATGCCTATCCATCCAAAGTTAATTGCACGCCTCTTCGTGCCTTCTCATTTCTTTTCATGCCTCCTACTCATTTCTCTAATTCTTACATCTACTCCGATACGCGCGCAACTTCGGATGGCTAGGAATTTGTGTTCCGGTGTGTATCTAAAAATTTATATAATGTGGTGCACAATCAGTTTTCATATCATTGCACACTTCATTTTTAATTAACCTCTTAAAATCAATTGATAGCATTAGAAACAACGGTTACTGACGATTCAGCATTGCTAGCAAACCATGATGTTGGAAGAAGACGTGGAATATCCTCACGTGGCCGCGGTAGACCACGTAGACGCGATCGTAATCTGCAGAGAGGTAAAGAGATGATATTTTTCTAATATTTGTTTTAAAGTAGTTTCTATTATCAATGACTGAATATTGCTTTAAGTCGGGAGCATAGACTTTTGCATAGCGAATGATACATAAAGTATAAGAAAATCAACCATAGTTTTTTATTTGATGCAATGGAAGAAAATGAGGGATTCATTTTCTTATATATTATGCGTTGTACGAAATGCAAAAGTCTGTGCTCCCAGCTTTATTTATCCAGCAACTGTTAACATTTTTAACTTTTGAGTCTAGTAGTGCAAAGAGATACTTGCACTTAGATTTATCTTGTAAAAGTTAAAATTTCTTCGTCACGGTACTGTAAAGAATACAATTTTCGCGTAAAAAACAGCAACTGCTTTACTAACTCGCGTTTGTCTTCAAATGCTTGTTTAAGTAATATCTACATTTTACTGATGAAAGAAAAATGTTCATATGTAATTTTTTATTCTAGCTGCTCAAACAACGTCAGTGATTCCAATTGTCGACAATACCGTCACTAATACCATAGAAGGTATATACTTTTTAATTAATAAAAAAGAAGGTGCTTTCTGCAAATTAATCTCGATTTTGCATTTGTCCGTCACTCAATTTCTTATCATCATTAGTAAAAGTTAAACTTATTTGGTTTTTCCTTAAAGCTTTGCAAACAATTCTTCTGTTCAACCGCTTTTCAACAAATATCATCAATGTGGTTCACTGATATACGAGTGGCTAAAAGACGACATCGATTGGATTAGCTTTAAAAAAAAAAATAAGTAATTATCTGTTTAGTGATCATTACATAGCAAAAATGATTCAGCTCAGTTTAATTGAATCTACCTGCTCACGAGAAATCCGATTAATTACCGGACCATCTCTCGTAAGCACACTGAGAAAAAAATATCTTTAATTCAAAAAAATTTTCTTTGATTAAAAAGAATAATTTTTTTAAATACGAGCAAAGATATTATTTCTTTAAATCTTGTATCGAACGTTATGTAAGTTAAAAGAAAATAATTTAAAAACAAGAAAAAATTTATTTGTAAAAGAAAGAATTTTTAATTAAATATAAAAAGTGTTTATCTAATTGAAGAAAACCTTTATTTATTGCAGAAGTTGAAATATGAATTTCAAAGAAATATTTCTTTTACGTGAAGAAATATTCGTTTCAGTGAAATAAATAATTTCATTAAAATTAAAATGTTTTTTTCTATTTAAAAATAAATTAAATTAATTTAAAAACAAAAAATATTTATTTCGGTAATTGTGTATGTTAATACAAAAGAAAATGTTCTGTGACAAAATGAATATTTAATGAAACGGAAAGAAGGTTTTTTTAAAAGAAAAACAATTTTATTATTTATAAATAAATGTATGCCTTAACAATAAAACATGTATTGTTAATCTTAAAATGTCTGACCTAAATTTGAAGAAAAATTTGTTAAAAAAAAAAAAATAATTGGTTTAATAAATAAACAGTTTTTTTTAATGAGAAAAGAATTTGTTAGTTAGAAACACATTTAGTTGTTTACTGCAATAAATACATTAATAAATCTGCAAACTCTGTCTTTAATTTGAAAAAACATATTTTTCGTTAGAGTAAATAATTGGTGTAATGGAAAAATGATTTTTGTAAATGAAAAAAGAAATTGTTAGTTATAAATAAATTTATTAGTGTATTGCAATAAATACATTGAGAAACTTACAAATTCTATGTTAAATTTGAATAAAAATTTTTTTCGTTAGTGTAAATCATTATTTTAATAAAAAGATGATATTTTTTAACGAGAAAAGAAATTATTTGTTATAAATAAATTTATTTGTTTACTAGAATGAATACAGTATTACTCTTAAAAACTCTATTTTGAATTTAAAGAAAAAACTTTTTAATGAGGTATATAATTGGTCAAATTACAATAATGGTTTTTTGAAATTAAAAGAATTTTTTACTTACAGTCGAATTAATTTGTTTTTTTTTTAAATAAATATATTATTAATCTGAAAAATTATTTCATCAATTTCAAGAAAAAATATTCTTAATGAAACAAATGATTGGTCTAATGAAGACCTGAATTCTTGTTTAAATTATAAAAATTTTTCTTATTTATAAAAAATTCGCTTATATAGATCAATAAATATATTGCTAATCATAAAAAGTAATGTACAATTTTAGGAAATAATGTCTTTCTTACAAAAAATATTTTTAATTAACGAGCAATTTCCTTAAGGCTTCTGACTAGTCGTTTCGATCATATTGGATCGTGATGTTTACAAGATATTAAATACTGAAAATCGCTGAATATTGGTTTTCAATAATTTTTTACTCAAATACTATCAACTTTACAGAAAAACTGCAACAGACAAAAATCATTTATTTTCTTCTCATAAAACTCTAAGAATTTTTTCAGAATTTTTTATCAACTTTTTAATATTGCATTTTCTTATTTTTATCAACATGAGAAAATACGGTATCAAAAAATTCTGAAAAAATTCTTATAACTATGAGAAGAAAATAAACAATTTTTATCTCTAGCAGTTTTTCTGTAAAGTAGATGGTATTTGAGTAAAAAAGTATTGAAAATCAATATTCAGCGATTTTTAGTAATTAATATCTTGTTAACTATTGCAAAATGGTAAAGGACTTTTATGTTAAAGGACTTAATGGTAAAGGACTTTTATTTTTATAAAACTCTTATAAATCCTCTTATAAAACAATTTTATATAGACAATCATAATACAACCATCTTTTGTATAGACAACTATAACATAACCAGTGAGTATCGCGATCGTGAACAATATTAAAAAACAAAAGAATTAGTAAGAGGAAAAAAGTACTATGTTGTATATTTGTATAAAAACCGTAATACTTATGTATTTTTATTTGAATTTTAAGATCTTTTGTGCGCTTTTGATGTATAATAGTTATAAAGGAGAAGAAACATAACATTTATTATCTGACATAACGTGAGCATTATAAACTTTGTAATCTATGAGATTATTTTGAGCAATAAATCCCCATTTCTTATTTTCTTTTACATTAAATGCTCCATAGTTTTCATAGTAACATATTTTGATGAACTTATAATACAAAAAAAAAATATTTTTAAATTTATCAATTATAATGTACTTAATTTTTCCAAAAGCAGGAAAACTATATGTTTGAGTATTTATGAAATTATTGACTTCATAACATGTCCCATACAATCTTACCCAAGAAACGCAATTACAATCATCAAAATTTGTTGGTAACAATAATTTAAAATTATCATAATCACTTACAAAATGTAATTTTGAAATAAATGGTCCCTTCGAAAGTCGTATTGAAAACCCTTCGTTACAAATAAATCTATAACATAGTTGCATTTGATGCTTTAATAATAGAGAATATGCAGGACATACTCTAAAAGTAGTAACTTTACTATATTCTTTTATTTGTTTATGCTTTGCTTCAAATCTCATTGTAGAAAAATTCTTTAAAGGGCCGAATGTACGCATGATTTTTTCATAATGTATTAAATAATGGTGTTTTACTTTAAAAGAACATTTAAAAGTCTTCGAATATAATTCTAAATATTGGGATGTTAATATTGCAAATGACTGTAGAATATCGTCAGTAATAGAATCTAAGAAAGAAATAATAACTATTTTACGTAACATCACATACAGTTTCCATACTGAACTATCAGTAGGAACTAAATCGCCCAAAAATAGACCAAGATTTAAAACTAAATAATGCATTTCTGATGCTGATAAAATAATCATTTTGTTTATTATGGATTCTAATTTTATAATAGGAATATTTATATCAAATGAACAATGAGAAAAATGTTTAATTCTGTCATTAAGTGTCTCTACAGAAAATGCTTTCTTCTTACATATAAGGTCATATAAAATTTTACCAATGTCGTATCTACAAATACCCTCGAGCAAATCATGCATAGGATCTACTGATATATTTTTAGTTACATGGAAATTTGTAACATTATTGAAAATACAGACTTCTACAATTCCATGACTTTTCTCGATAGAATGCTTGTTATAGTTTTCAACATTTCTTAATAAATTACTGTTTTCAATCATAGTCCCATGCATTTCATTTTTGGAAATGTAACATATACGACAACAATGAGAAGAATTGAAACTTTTGGTAAAGCCGAGAATCGTATTAAGTCCTAAATTATCACCTATTATTTGAGACAAAATAAAGTAAATTTGTTTTGTTTCTCCGTTTACGTTAATGAAAATCCCTTCAGTATAAAGATTATTAATTTGATTAATTACATGACTAAAAATTTTTTTGTTTCCAAAAACTTTATGATCCTGATAACTATGCAATTGCACTACAAAGATATTTTCCAACAAACTAGAGAACTTATTTGGTAAACCAGCAATAGCACAATAGACTGCACCTATCTTATTCTTATTTTTACAAGAACCTAAAGGATTGTTTATTTCCAAATCGTCAAAATAGAGCACAAGTGGTAAGATAATTTTACCATTTGCATTCTTTTCAATAAATCTCCAAAACTCAGTTTGGAAAATAGAAATTAAAGATTCACTTTCTTTGCTCTTATCAATGTATGATAATATTGTTTGATATACATCAGGAAGTTCCAAAAATTTTTGCAATACTAACTTTAAGGGCACTATGCTTAATTTGCGATGTTGTAGATACGATTGATATATTTTCTTTATTTTACGAAATGATAAATTAGAATTTATACTCACTAATTTTGGTAAAAACAAACAATTCCTTTTTTGTAAATACTGTAATGTTTTATATTCTGATTTAAATGGTTGAAAGCCATTTTTTATAATATTTAAATAAATATCTATATCGTTCACATCTTTAAATTTCTTAGATAAAACATCTAAAAACACATAAATGTAATTTATGTTTATATCATTTATAATTTCATGAATAACTTTTCTATTCAAACTTCTAGTAGCATACAATTTAATTACAAAACGAGTGCAATGTTCATGAACGATATTTTTTAAATATTCAGTATTAATTTCACCTATATCATCAATTGCATCTAATAACATGTTACTATTAAAAAGTGGAAGGTTATCTTGATATTCGACATTGTATTTTGGTATATTTAAAGAGACCAAATTATTTGTTAATGGTATTTTTTCTTCTATCGAAATATTCTGTAGAGATACTTCATGTGTATTTAAAAAATGTTTCCGCAAAGAATAAACATTATTATATTCACTTATGCAATCCTTGAAATTACATTTTACTGTAGAATTCATAAGCATCTTGTGTTTTAGTTTTATATGTAACATCAAAATATCCATAGATCCAAATGTATGTTCGCAGAAAAAACACAAAATCATTGTAAAAAATTATAGAATAAACCAGTATGTATGAATAGCTTTTTGGCGTAGAACAAAATTTCTTATTATATCTTATTGTATGTTTCATAAGACATTGTGTGTTTCATAAGACATATTATTTTTTATAATGAGCACTTCAAAATGTTTGTTTTAAACGATAATAATTTCAGAATTCTTTTCAAAAGATTTGGATAATTTATTTAGTATATGTTCTATGCCAGGAATTACGTAATCCCATTTTGTAGTAAAATTATAAATACCTTTCTGAATTAACATCCAAAGATGTTCACTCATTATAGGATAATTTACTTGAAAAACATGAAATGTTTTAAAGCATACATCGATTGCCTCCAGAGTACTATTTGTTTTATACAAAATGTCATCCACTTGAACATAAGTTTCTTTAACTTCATAAAGGGATCCTACAATAATTATATACGGTTGCAATGTTATTTTTAACATCTCAGCATGTTTTCGTGCTTCTTCTTTAATAAGAGTCATATCTCCGGGAATCTAGAAGTACAAAATAAGAAATGATGTAAGTAAAATAATTTCATACGTCGAAATTTAATTTTTATAAAACTTAAATTTATTTTAAACTCTGCTAACATTTGCATGTCTTATCAGGCTCATTTTAGCATTAGCAATCGAAGGTTTGTAACATCTCCCTTTATATTTCTTTAATCCTTTTGGCGGAAATAAATGTGGAAGTAACGTAAGACCTATAGCCACTTTTGTATCTAAGAAAATAAATTTATTTTTTAATATATTCATTTATATGATTACTTTTCATCTTCTAACATTTATTTTTTTAAATTATTATTAATAAAATATAATAATTGAGAAGATGGGCGGAATAAAGGCACAATTCGACTTGGGCCCTTTTTTCGGAGATTAGCGCAATAAACAAGAAATCGATGTTACTTACATTAGTTAAATATGAATGTGTTTCGATTGTCCTGTGGTAGGGAAAATGATGTAATCTATGGAAAAAGATATAATCTTTAAGTATAGATTATATCAATTTAATGAGATTTTTACCAGAGACTGAACGAAAGTGATATGACAATAATATGTTTACTATACAATATGTTTATGTTAAAAGATCTTCTCACGAAAGCTCATCAGATGATTGAACATATTATTTCAATTTATTTTATACAAATGTAAAAATAAAGTGTATCCCATATTTATTTTGTATTTCTTCTAAAAAAATGTGAATAATAACAAACATTTCTATAATTCATAACCTTTTCTTTCGGGAAAAGGGACTAAATGCATTCTTTTATTGTAAATAATTTTTTTAATATTGACATAATCATCATAACAAAGAAATATTATAACATAATAAAGAAATATTACAACTTCTCAAATACATTAAGTAAATGTACATTTAATATTGTTCCCATTTGTTGTATAAATAAAAAAGTAGGAAGTTATTTTTATTTTTATAAAAATCAAGATTTTGTAATTAAGCCTTTATTCTGTCTATTCCCTCGATTATTATATTCCGTACCTACGCCAATTTTAATGACTTGACTATTACCTACTGCGTAGGTTACCAATGTTTCAAGATAATTGTATTTGTTTATTATATTAGTTATTAAGTAACATATATATTTCATGATTTTAAAAATAATATTAATTATTATATAAAGTATCTAATGTACCAATACTGTATCATAATTACATATTACAAATATTACAAATGAGAAAAAATTACCGATTGAAATATCCTCTTGTTTCAACTTGTCTAGCATTACATTTACATCGTCATGTTTTGCATAACTTGTATGTGTTATGATCATATCCACAAAATTCATCCATATATTTACATTCAAACTCACTTTACTTAAATCCATTGTATTAAAATCTTGGACAATTAATTGATATCCTTGTGGATGTTTTAACACAGACCATTTATTAAAGACAGTATTCAGACTTTTTTCTTCGAAATTATTAAGGTCTTTTCGTCTAATATCAAAAGTAAGCAGCCAATGCTGGAGAACTAACTCCCATGGAGCTACATTCTCATCTAACCATTTTATACTTTCTTGTACTTTTCGATCTACTTCTTGCGGAGCTGTATATACAAAATGAGTTATATTTTTATTATTTTTATAAATTATATTAGTAAACAATCCTAAGTGTCATAAGTTGTTAAAAAAAAAAAAGTAAAAGTTGTTCGGTATTGAGGGCCGCGCGGCATTATGTAATGGTGAACCTTTTTTCCCAAGTGGAAGCGCTTAGAAAATTTGAAGATGTAACTTCATTTCTTTAAGTGGAATTATATAAATTGTTTTACATAATATGATTCCTCTTCCTATATATAAAAATATTAAGATAAAGGTATCGAAAAATCAATAATTTACGAGATATTTAATATTTTATGTTAATATTATTGTGCTAAAATAAAATATAAAATATCTCATAGATTATTGATTTTTCTATATCTTTTTTACTTTTATCTTAATAATTTTATATGCTAAATAGAAGAATAATATTATGTAAAAACAATCATAATGTTATTTAAAGAAACGAAATTGATCTTCAAATCTCCAAAGCATCTCTTTTTGGGAAAAAATGTTCACCATCATATAATGCCCCCGTGGATACCAAACAACTTTTATTTTAGGCATTTTCTCTAAAGCTGTGTTATTCAAATGGTCTGTTTTAGATACCCTGCTCTGTATACTTATATTTTAATTATAAATACGTTTATATTTTATATATAAATAAACGTACCATCATCTTTTTTATCTTCTTCTTTTTTAATTTTTGCTTCAAATCTTTTATATAGAGTACATCTATTTCGCCACATATTCATTAATTTACCGCGCGCAATTATCGGTTTTTTTCTAATGGAATCTTTTTTGGATACAGGTGGAACGTAATATGTCGTTGTTACTTCAGTAGGAAAAGTAGAAACGATCATTTTTGAAACATATTCAGCCAAATCGTTTGTTAATCTATATAAAAATATACATATATATACACATATACACATATACACATACACAGTGTCTCAGAATATTTGAGACTATTTTTGTGCAGATAAAGTGAACTAAACTGTGTGGAAAAATCCTCTAACATTTTGCTATACATATCGAACATATGTTAATCTTTTTTTTCTAAAGATTACCGAATAAACGGATAAAATTAATGAGGCAACTTTATAGATATTTATCATAGTTCTTTATGACATATTTTAAAGATGTTTCTTAAAAAACTTTTGAAGCTATCTTAAAATTGTCTTGTGCGTCAATTTTAGATATTCAGCTCATTAGATATAACTATTCCGAAAATTGCAAAATGGTAGAGAATTTTTCGGCTCAGTTTAATCCTGCACATGAAAATAGTACTAAATTCATACAAATCAGTGTTCTGGAGTACTCTGTATACGTATTATATGCTTATACAATATAAATGTAAAAAGTATAACAAAACAGTATTAACAAAAATAAGATAGAATGTATTTATAAAAACATACTTCACATTTTTATCCTCAAGGTCACTAATTACAATATCACACAGTTTATTTCTAAAATTTTCTTGCAATTCATTTTCTCTTTTGTAATAAGTTAAAATATGATTGCCCATTTTGTATTTTAAAAGTAGATTCTTTAAGGGTACCATAAATTCTTTAAAATCGTCTTTATAAGAAAAATTTTCTTTCTCCTCACTAAATGTAGACAAATCGAATGATGTCTCCATTTTTTCTCCTTCTTCTTCTCTTAATTTCTATTATTAAAAAGATTAGTTTTTAAAATATAAATAAAATTTATAATTGCTTAAAAAATTTATAAAAGTTGAAAATATTGTCTAGTTCTTTTTAAATATATATTATAAGCAGAAATGCAACGGATATTCAGCAATTATCCGACTTATCTGACCGTTTCTTTAATCCGGTTATCCGGCTGCTGGATAGTTCGATTATCAGGCCAAATGTGAAAAAGTCGTTTTCCACACTTAAGATGTGCAAATAATAATATTTAAGATTTAATTTTTTTAAGTATCTTATTATCTGATTATGTATTTAATTATATTATACAGGGTGTCCGGAAAATCGAGGCCAATACTTCGGGAAGTGATTTGGAAGCCAAAAAGGAGGAAAAAAGCTATATAAACATAAGTACGGAAATAAGTCATTTCCGAATTATAACTTTTACCATTTTTATGTTAAAAAATTGAAATTTATTTTTCATAATTACAATCATAATTTATTTCCTTACAATTATAATTTATTATGAAAAATAAATTTCACTTTTTTAACATAAAAGTGGTTATAATTCGGAAACGACTTATTTCCGGACCTATGTTTATATAGCTTTTTTCCCTCCTTTTTGACTTCCGAATCACTTCCCGAAGTATTGGCCTCGATTTTCCGGACATACTCTGTATATCTGACCAATCTAACAAAAAGTACTCTTTATTAATTCAATTATTAATTATTTTCAATTTCAAAAATTTCAATTATTAATTAACATATATAATGTAGTATAATTTAAAAATTAAATTGAAATAATTTTTTATACCTTAATTCTTTAATTATAAAATATTGAAAAACCGTTTAATAAATTTTACTTATTAAATTTTTGTATAGCATACTTATAATAATTTACATTAAAAAATTCTCTTTTTTATGTAAAAAAATAATTAGATTTTCAATTTTTCAATTCTTCAATCTTGCAATTTTTTGATTAAATCCGATTATCTGGCTTATTCGGTTTTGGTGGATAAAATTCAATATCCGGCAAACCCCATTATCAGTTGCATCCCTAATTATAACTTTATTGAAAAAAAATTTGAGAAAAGCAGAGAGATACCATTCTCTTTTGTGATGGCGAGTCTTCTATACTTTGATGTATACTTTTAACATTATAATGTTTTTTCCAATAAGATAAAAATATTACTCTTTGACCAATAATTGGTATTAATTCGGATATAAGAGATTCCGATAAATGTTCTAACGTGTCCTCAGTAATCATGTTTTCTAAAAAGTTGAAGAATTAGAACATAACTTTTATCATATATTAAGTATAGCATGTATAAAATATATAATTCACTTAAAGTAGAAAATTTGCATGTTTGAGAATATAAAAAAGCATACATGAGAAAGGTTGCATTTCTTGAATCAAAATTGACCTGTTTTACTCATCGTCTTTTAAAAAATAAATTTATTAAGAATGTTTTTTCTATCCAACTGCACAGAACGAAACAACAAAAAAGTAATTTGGCTTATAATAGTTATGTAGCAAAATGATCAAATTTTTCTGCAGTTTATGCAAATGACCATATTTTTCTACAGTCAGTAACACTGTTCGACAAATCACTTTTCTTAAATACAAAATAATATCTTTATGTGTACACAAGCATGACAAAACATGACAAACAGTGAGACTAAAGCAAAACTTACTTTCGAAGTTTTCGATGAGATTTTCCAGCTTTAAACCTCTTAATAATTCTCGAATTTTTTCATCAGCCATGGTAGAATTTTCTTTTATACATTATTGATAATAATATATAAAAGAATATTAATGTGGAGAATATTAATTGACGCTTGCTTGGTTGCTTATTTTATGTCTTGCCGGTATCTAATAAAGAAAAGTCATTAAATTGTTTAATATAATTGGTTTTGCAACATTTTTGCCAAGATGTGCCATTAATTTGTGCAACGCTTTCTTAAACATATCGTATGTATCGTGTATATGTATCGTGGAAATTTCTATACAAATAATTTTGAAGTTACTTCGAAAAATTCGCAAAAATTCAAGTAAACAATAGGCAGTAAATAATAATGCATAAATATCTGGGGACACGGTAGTGTCTCGGCGCTAAGACATGACGAGAGACACTGCCGTGGCTACTTTACGCGAGCCGGCGAGTTGCAGCAGATTGAGATTATCAGATCTCAATAACAGCTGAACTGATTAAATTCTATATATGCTCAATCGACAATTGATGCTTTACAAAGCACGAATATCTCTGTACTGCCTATTGGCCTGAATTTCTGCGAAATGTTCGCATGCAAATTTCCAACGTTACAACGTTCAAGAAAATGGATTAATGGCGTCTTTGGACGGAAACGTGACAAGCGTATCTATATAAGCACCGAACCTCTCGTTAAAATTATTTTAATGTACTTACATTCAACGTGGTCACACACTTAAAAAAAAGCTTTGAGGTGTAAAGGATCCTCCATCACTTCTTGTTTGATTTGAGTATCAGGAAGACTTTAGATGGGGCACACACATGTCTTCTTTACGAGATAACTAACTTTATTTCGCTCGTGTTACAATGTCGTCCGTCCGAGAGAACGGTTCTTGCAAGATTCTTTCGAGTCCGTTACTTTTCACACAAAATAAGTCAAGCGACTAATCAGAGCCTGGCATAGCCCTTCCACGCTTCTCCGACCAATCACACTGCAGTCACCTCGCGGCGCAAGTGTCGTATCGTCTTATTCTTGTTGTTAAACAAGGATAAACTCAGGTGATGTTTTTGAACGCTACCTTAACGTTCGCAACGCTCGCGTGCATCATTTAATCCTTGTTTGACATTCGATTACAATGAAGATGAATGATCTCGCGAGCGTTGCGGACGTTAAAGCTGGAAACACAATAGACACAGGCAATAGACACAGGCAACAGGAAATAACGAGCCATCCAATCAGAGCTTTGGGGTATAAGTTCGATATTATATCCCAGAGCTCTGATTGGACGGCTCGTTATTCCCTGTTGTCTGTGCCTCTTGCTTGTGTCTATTGCGTTTCCAGCAAAGCCTGGTTTATGCTTCGGCATTAATCTTAATCTTAAAATTAGTCCTAACTTAATCTTAAGTACTGGTTTATGCTTCCCTCGAAACTCAAACTGCGCCTGCGCATACGTAAAGAAACATAACCGCAAACTGAATCAGCAAAATGAATCGGCGACGTAAAATATTAATATTGACATTTGGATTACTTTTATTATCAAGTAGCTGTGTAGCACATTTATTACTTCAAAATAGACAAAGAAGAAGGAAAACACGGAGATATGCTGTTCGACCAATGAATCGAAAAAGACATGAAAACGGTCATTTCTTTTCTTTAACTAATATGCTGAATCTTGAATACGATTATGAACAGTTTTTTAAATTTACACGGTGTTCTCCGAGCCAGTTCAATGAGTTACTTCAATCAGTGGGACATAAACTGCAGAAGGACACTCGAAGAAATCCTTTTACATTGTCACCTTCACATCGACTGATATTAACATTGCAGTAAGTCATACATATATAATAAAGTATATTTTAATTTGATTGTATTATGAAAACAATGAAATCACTTTTATATATTCTTTTTTGTTCATAGCTACTTAGCCGAGGGCTGTACAATGCAGGAAATTGCAAGGAATTTTCGTATCGGAAAATCAACAGCACATGTTATCATTAAAGAAACGTGTAAAATCTTATGGGATGTTCTGCAGCCACGTGTATTAAAACGTCCAGGTGTTGATGACTGGAAGAACATCGCTCATGAATTTTATCATCGATGGAATATGCCAAATTGCTTTGGAGCTATTGATGGTAAACACATCAACATTATGGCTCCGAAGCACTCTGGAACTGAATTCTTCAATTATAAGAAGTCTTTCAGCATCGTGTTAATGGCCATATGTGATGCATATTATCGATTTACATTTGTTGACATTGGAGCAGCTGGTTCTAATCACGATTCTGTCATATTCAAGGAATGTGCGTTTGGTAAAGCCTTACAAGATCGCACTTTGAAAATTCCAGAACCATGCAATCTTCCTGAATCAAATATTAAATTTAATTACTTTATAGTAGCAGATCAAGCATTTCCCCTTGACAAGCATATTATGCGACCATACCCAGGCAATGACTTAGGGAAAAAAAAAACATTTTTAATTATAGACTCTCCAGAGCGAGACGAACTATCGAAAATGCGTTTGGTATTTTAGTACAACGGTGGAGAATTTTACGGAAGGAAATAATTGCATCTGTAGAAACTTGCGAAGAAATAGTTATGGCAACAATAGTTCTCCATAATTTTCTACAAAGAGGTGCAGAGGATATTCCACAACATGAAAGAAGATATGTTGTAACGGGACTTCATGAATATATAGATGAAAATGGAGTACTTCTGCACAAAGAAATACCATGTGATTTACGTTCTGTTGGTTGATTGGGATCAAACAATCCTTCAAAAACTGTCAAAGATGCCCGAGATGAATTAGCTGACTACTTCGTAAGCGTAGAAGGTTCCTTGCCTTGGCAATGAGAATATGTTCGACAAGGAAATGTACCATAAATGTAGATTTGTAGATTTAGAAATGTACCAAATGTAGATTTGATTTGTGTTACAATTTGTAAAATATAACCATACTTCTGAATTAAATGGTCCTTTCTTGAAGCGTAACCTTCAAAAACAGAAAATATAAGGAGTAATTATAACAATAATTTAAAAAATATTTATAATTTATAATAATTAAAAAATATTTATAATTTATAATAATTTATAATAATATGGAAATTGTAAAAATATAATAATAAAGTGAACACCTCTAAAATTGCATTAAACGTAAATCAAACAGTTTTTACTTTTTAACGA